CTTCTAAAACCCAATTATCTTTCTATTGTTCCAACATAATTAACCCTATTCTAGCCCTAATTGTTGAGTTCTAATTGCCCTAAGTCCTTTGACTACATCAATCTTTGTTTTGCAAAAGATGGGGAGCTACTTTGAGGGGATATTGTGCGCCATTCCTTTCATTAACATTTCATTTTCAACAAAATTCTGACTTATTGACTGAAACCTAGATTACTAACCTTGTATATTTTTTCCCCAAACTTCCTGTTTTCCCCAGCCCGACTGAATGAACAAAAGCTGCTGCTGCTGCTGCACCGCACTGTTACTTTTTCCTGAAACTAGACTTCCTTTATTTCACCTAAGCCTAATGCAAAAAACCGTTTCATTTTCATCTTCAAAACAACCACCTTCATAATGTTAAAAAAAAAGGAAAAGATAGTTCCCTAAATCTTGTCTTAGTTAATTCTCCACTAGTTGAAGTAAACCCATCCTTATGAGGGAGCATGGTTACAAACTCCAAACTTGCTTACATGGAGCATAGAGCAACCTTTTGGACTTCAGGAAATTCACCATTTTGTTGGTAGAAAATATCAAAGCTAAAGAGATCCTTAATTGCGGTCTTATCAACAATCTTGTCTGGAGTAAGAAGTCAATGCATAGCTGTACTTCGGATGAACTTTGAACATGACAATCTGTGCTCTATTATCTGCTAGTATTTTATTTTCTGTTTGGCACTGTTGTCATCTTGTACAGTAAGTATCCCAATCATGGGTATTATACGTCAGTTTCAGCCACTTAATTTATGATGGTGATTTGATTAACTTGGCCACTTATTTTTGGGATAATCAGTGTCATTATATTTTAGGGGAGTGATTGGCACATAGTTATCTTTTGAAACTCTTATTCGCTTTTTTTCTAATTCTTGATGTTGAAAGCTTAGAGGCTGTTTGGTATGGGGGATGTAGGTAACATTCACTGTAATGTGAATGGTAAAATTACATTATAGTGTTTGGTAACAAAAAAATATCAATGTAATGTACATTACATTGGCATCACATTACAGTCAGAAGAGGGAATCGCATTCCCATTGAAAACCTATATAATGTTACTTTCTCACTACTTGGGAAAGTGACTATTTTTTGGACTAAATGCCCAGCATTGCTCTTTCTCACTGCTCTTTTCTTCATTTTCTCTCATCTCTTTGTCTCACTAACCAACTGCTAGTTAACCCCTCTCTTTCTAAAACCCAAATTTTTGTGGCTGATCATCGTCAACAGTCGGCCACTGCTGCTAGTGGTGCAGAAAAAAGCCACTCTTTCTGCTCGTCTCACTCTCCTTTATCTTTTAATCGATTTAGTTTTCCCTAAAAATCTATCTTTTCCTCCTTTTTTCTCTTCTTTCTTTTGGAAAAAACTTAGATCTAGTTGTCAGTTGGCAAAAATTGTCTTTGCCAAAACCAATTTCTTCTTCCTCTCCCTTCTCTCTTTCTTTTTATTGGTTCACTTCACAAAAAAGTGAGAAGAAAGGAAGAGAAAGGGAGGACATGAGAGAGGGGAAGAAAATACAGAACCTGTCGTTGGTCACGGTAGGGGATAAGGGGAAAGAAAAGAAGAGAAGAGCAGGAAATGACCAAAATGTCTCATGAATCTCTCTGTTTTCCTTCAATCTCCAACCTCCTCCGCCACCACAGAACTTCTGTTAGCCACCTCATAAGCAACCCCTGCAAATGAGTTCGACCAAGTACAAAAATCACCACTTGAGACATTGGCCAGAAAAATAAACCACCACCTAAAACAGTCATGTCCCTACCCAGTCAAGACAACAACATATTTTCTCTTCCATTTTTTTTTTATCAAATTTTGCTACTTCTAGATAATTTTTATTTTGAGAATTTTGTTTAGATTTTGATATCTAAAGTGGGTAAGATGAATTTGTACTAGTCTTGCTAGATTTTAGTATAATAAAAAATATTTATGACTTTTATATGGGTTTGTCATTTGTGGATGAAGAAATGGGTATCATTATTTGGTCTTTCCTTTTTAAAATACTAATTGATTGTTGTTGATAATATATTTCATGTTGATGTTGAAATGCTGCTCTTATTTGACATTAAAAATATTGACAAATTTTTGTCTTGAGAAAAGTAATAGAAAAATACGAATCTCATTGTATAAATTAATTAACTAATTTCATTAATTACTTTAAACTACTTTAATTAACTATATAATTAACTAATTAGTTGATTATAGTAACTAATAAATTAATTAATTAATAATTTAAATTAACTAATTTAATTAATTAATTTAACTCTCTAAAATTTAACAAATTTAATTATAAAAAGCATGCAAGTGTATTAAACTTGCTTTTTGATGCATAAGGCTAATTTTGGAAATTCACATAACATTCTCAATAAGGTGCTTGTAAACCCAACGATGTAATGCTATCTTCACAAGATTTTAATCAATACTTTCCCATATAGATCAAATATTGCAATGTTATCTTCCTAGCTCACATTCTATTGGAATTTTGAAGTGGTAAAGCACCAAATGCTACCTTAGGGTTATGTCCTTTCATGTATATGGGCCTTCTTATCAAGTTCTATTTCAGTTGCAATATTCTTGACTCTAGCTACTCATTTCAACATGGAGCAAAACCCTTTGACACTAAAATTTAATAGTGTTGGTTTAAAACTTTCACCACAGAAGATGATAGACCTGGGAAGCAATTGGATCAAGGTTTAAATAAGTTGGTGATTGGTTCTATGCGTATTTTGGCCCAGGTAGCTCAAATACTGTTTAGGAATTAGACTTTAATCATAAATCTTAACCAAAAAAAAAAAAGATCTAATGAGAATTTCACTTATTTATAATACACTTTCGGAATTAAAGGTTGTAGTGAAGCGTTATATAATTTCTTAACTTTTAACACATTATAAAATCCCTAACCCAATACCATACTATCATAGAACCAAGAATAACATAAAATCGAGGAAACAACTTCTACAATTTATTATGGTTTTTCTTTTTCTAAAGCAATTAATGATTCCCCTTTTGGTGTTGTGCTTTGTAGTTTAAGACTTCTGAGATGCAAAGATACATAGTCGCAATTAAAAAACTCTAATCTAGCAAAATCTTCTGTGCAATTAAGTTGTGTTTTCAGATAGATACTGTTCATTCTTCAGTCGAATGACAACAATTAGTCTAAATGTAGATTACTACATTAGTAGGTTGTTGTAGTACTGCTTCCTTTGTTCGTATTCTGTAGATTATTTTTAATAACTATGTTTGTGTTGTATATAGTCTAATTGTGATCTTGGCAATACATGTATTGTAGGGAAACTTTGCTTTCATATATCACTGATGGAGACGATGTACGGGCCTTGGGCTCTTTGAGTGTGTTGGCTACACTGTTGCAAACAAAGGGTAATATTAGTGAAGGGTTTCATATCACTACATCTGTTTTTAATTGCTATTTCTTACTGAATATTTACATTTGTAGAATTGGATGAATCAATGCTAGATGTTCTTGGCATTCTTCCTCAACGCAAACAACACAAAAAACTCTTACTGGTAAGTTTTAATGCTAGTCATTTTCTTCAGTTGGAATAGTGATTTGTTTGCATCTGATAATAGCTTGCCTATTTTTCTTGGATTTTCTTGTCTTGAAAACTTATCGGTGAATGTATAGTTCAATAGTACTTAAGTGTGGTCAGATGGTCCACAACCAAAAGCTTTATTTCTTGCTCTGAAGTGGATTCTATTGATGTCTCATATGTATTGACAGCACAATCAGGTGCAAGTATTTTGGAAAAAAAAAATTTCATGAAGATGAATTTGATACCTATCAATGTATACCTAAGATTAAAATAAAAAACTTGGGGCATACTTGTTTGTCATTTTGTACCTGATTGCTATTTTAGAAATTCTTCCACCTTTGTCTAATTGATTGAACTGTAGAACCTTTTGTGTTGAATTTGGGCAGCAAGCTTTGGTAGGTGAGGGCTCGGGTGAAGAGCAACTTTTTTCTTTTGAAAGTGGCTCCATAAGAGATGGTGTTGCTAGTGAGATTGATGGATATCTACAAAAGTTGAAGGTATTTTTCTTTTGCTCATCTTTAAGCATGCTTTATTTCTCCATATTCCCTTAAAATGGTGAAGAGAAAGAATGCAAAAAAAAAAAAAAAAGATGAAGGGAACATTTCTACTTCTCAAATGTTTGTTTAGTCATTAATATTGGTTCATGCAAAGAGCTGTTTCTATGCTAGTTTCTTTGATACCTCATCAAGAGAATGGATAAGTAAAAGCTATCCACTTTGGTAGCCAAGGCTAGGGTTGTCGTTGGCTTTGGTTGATCAAAGAGAAAGTGTTCTTCATAGTTATAAAGCCAATGACTGAATTGATGTCACGAGTTAACTTGACACCAACTCAGTTGATAAAATTACTAACCAAGTATAGTTATAAAATAAATCATCATTAAGGATAGATACGTGGATTTATATTTTTCAAATGAAAGTTGAGTAAAATGCCACTTTTATCAATTCGTTAACTACTCATTTTTTTCCAAAAAAAAAAAAAAACTACTCATTTTTTTTTAATTTTTCAAAACTACTATTTTTCATTTGATTAAAAAACGAAACTCACTTATAGCTTCAATTTTTTTTTTCTCGCTCACTTATTGCTACAAGATCTAGTTAGTCTTTTGTATACTACTTTATTAATTTAGTTTAGTCTTGGTATGTTTTTTCTTTCGCTCTATCAGTTTAGTCTTGATGTTGGTGGTATTATGGTAGTTTTTTTTCTTTTGTATTGTTGAAATGAGCTTGATGGTGGTCTATTGGGTCTAGTTAATTATTAAGGACCTTATTTGTCTTACTTTACCTGCTCATTTTTTTCCAAAACAGAAAAACTACCCATTTTGTTTTTCAATTTTTCGAAACTACTATTTCTCATTTAATTAAAACTGAAACTCTCTTATTGCTTCAATTTTTTTTCTCACTCATAGTGAGTGTTACAAGATCTAGTTAGTCATTTGTGTATTACTTTATTGATTTAGTTTAGTCTTGGTGTGTTTTTTTTGCTCAATCAGTTTAGTCTTGTTGTTGGTGGTATTACGGTAGTTTTTTTTTTTCTTTTGTATTGTTGAAATGAGCTTGATGGTGGTTTATTGGGTCTAGTTAATTATTAAGGACTTTGTATGTCTTACTTTACCCGAGTTAAGTTTTTTATGTAGCATGGGATGGAAAACTAGAGTAGGGAGAGATGAAGAGGAGAGAAAAGAGGGAGAACATACATAGAATTATGGGAGAGAATACAGAGAAGAGAAATAGTGAACAAAGAAGAGAGAAAAAATATAAAAATGACAATAATAAATGTCTATTTATTTTTTAAAATGACTAAAATAAATCTTTAAATTTTTTAATTCTATTTGTGTCATCCTCCTCTGCATCAGCTTCCATTCTTGGAAAAAACTCAACTTTGAAATTTTAAGTTCTGCAGTGAAATAAATTTCAAGCAAAACCCTTGAACAACATTGTCAACAACATATTTTTGCTCTGTGGCATCAACACAGCCAATGGTTTTTCCTTTTTTTTGTCTCATTTTGGACATATTGTGAAGAAATAAAGTGATTGGAATTTTTCAACAAGCAGCACATCACAAGACTCCTTGTTTGCTTGACTGCCAAAAACTTGGCCTTTTGTTCGTTAAGCCTAACATGCACAATTTCAGCCTTTCAGCTGCAAAACCTGGTTATTGGGTTTTTAATTCTTCAAGTGATTGATCATGTTCCAATGGTCCTTTAGTTTCTACATCTGGCTTCTCAAACATCTGATGCTTCAAATTTTGGCTCAAAATTTTCTTGATTCATTTGAGAAAAAGGATCTACTTTTTCTTTTAGAGTGTTGTGTGCATAGTTCTTGAAAGCAATAGTAAAATCATCCATACTTCTATATTCTGAAAATTGAATTACAAATTATTGTCATATGAACAATAGGAATAATCATCATTCTCTGCAGAATTGGAAATAGTAGCTATTGCATCATCTTCCTTTAATTGGAATAATCTTGCTGACCGTCACCTTCCTAATGAATAGAACTGGAGAAAGAGGATAAAATTTCTACATGTAGAGGTCAAAGTTTATTGAATGCATTTTGGATTCATATGCAGCATATCAAAATTAAGGGGGGTAGGGGTTTTTTTATAATGCTAATATGCCACTGAGTTGATGCGGTGCTAATTTTGTCTGTCATACACATTCGATGATGAGGTGTGAGGAAATAGCATGATAACAAATTGAAGAAATCACCTTAATGATGTAAAAGATAACACCTTGATGACGAAATTGTTTACATAATGCTATTGTCACTTATGACATGGTATCCTCTATTGATATGTGGTGACTATGATGTCGTGAGTGGCTTGCGTGAAACTTGATTTAATTCATAGAAACGTGTAGTTTTAGTTGATGGTGAATATTTTGGTAGAACTGGAAAGTGGAGGAAACTTTGAGCTAGTATGTGATTAAGACTTTAATTAATTATGATAATGCTTGATATTTGGATCACACTAGGCAATTTAATGAAGCAAACTCTTTAATATTTATTAACAGAATCATATAGTTTAAGCTCATAATATATTATATATTTTTCCTATGTTGCTCGAACTCAGGTATGAGGATAGAGTGTGGGGCTGTAAACTTTCTCTTTTCATATATTAGATAAAAGTCAATTTCCACAAAGTGGCTATTCTATTTATAATAGAATGAAGAATATGAAGACTAAAACAGCCCTAAACCTGCATAAGCCATAATGATATATATCAATCTTTAACACCCCCCTTAAGCTGGAGCATAGATGTTGATCAAGCCCTGCTTGTTACAAATATAATCAACCCTAACCGGAGAAAGATTCTTAGTAAACCAATTTGCTACTTGCTCTCCTGTGCTCACATGGAAGTAGAAATCAATCTCTGTTGAATCTTCTCCTGTGCAAAATGACAATCAACCTCAATATGTTTTGCCCTTTCTTTAAACACTGGATTAGAAGAAATATGCATAGCTACCTGATTATTACACCAAAACCTCATAAGAGATGAATCTGCAAAACCAATTTCCTCCAACAAGTGACGAATCCACATAAGCTAACAAGTAGTTTGTGCCATAGCACTAGACTCTGTGCTCTACCTAGCTACTACATTCTGCTTCTTACTCTTCCATGATACCAAATTTCCTGCCACAAACACAGAATTGACCTGAGAACTAATTGTGTCATACTCTGAATCTAAACTAGATAGCCAACCAAAGACAAACAGTCTCATGCCATTCCTTCATCTTAGCCACATCAGTTGAAAGTGGCTTGGCAGTGTAGAAATCTTCAGCAGATCGCTGATGATCATAGTAATAATCCATAATTGTCTGTCCATTTTAACTTGGACAACTAACCTCCTGTGATAAATTGTAGTCTCTTCATATTCTTTGTACCTGAAAAATACTCATGCAATAACTCCCATAACTCTTTAACTATCGTAGTACGTTGCATTGAAAGAACATCTTTCTATCAATACAATTAACAATTGGAGAAAATAATCTTCTATCATTTGTCATCCATACCTTGGCAGTATCTTCTTTATTTGGACAGGGTTTGGTAAGATGTGCTTCCTTCGCAAGTCCTCTTACATAATACCTTCGCTAGAAACTTCCATTCTACAAAATTAGAACCATCACCAGCTAGCATAACATCTACTATGAGGACACAACCTTCACACTCTTACTACCTTTGGACGCCATCTCACTGACCCTCACTATTAAAAACAATCAACTAACACAATGCAATACTTAATAGCAACGGATTAAAGATGATACTAACAACCTAACAAAAACAAATCGACTAACATATTAAAACTAGCCAACCTCATATTCAACTAACAGGATCTATGAATCTCAGTAGAACCCAATCCACATAGTTACAATGGTCTGATGAGTACCTTCTTTTTCTTTTCTTCTTTCTCCATTTTTTTCTTTTTTTTTTAGGGTTTTGGATAGGTAGGCTCTGATATCATGTAAAATTCTCTTTTCATATATTAGATAAAAGTCAATTTCTGCAATGTGGCTATTCTATTGTTAATAGAATAGAGAATATGAAAAAGACTAAAACAGCCCTAAACATACAATAGCCCTAAACCTACATAAGCCATAACCTACATAAGCCATAATAATGTATAACAATCTTTAATATTTTGTATTTAAGTATCTGACATTCCAACTACATGGTTGAAGACATGGGGATACGGCTATAAAGGGTAAGAAACGAGGATACAGGTGTGGGGATTCATTGTCTAAATTATTATGTTATGATGGCTGGCATTACTCTTCTAGTAGTTTAACTACCTTTCTTTCCTTCTTTCTTTCTTTTTTTTTTTTTTTTGGAAGAGAAGATGTGTGATTGGTGTTTTGGTTTTGAGTTTTTAAAAGAAAGCAAAATTACACCAGCAATTGACCTCCTTGTCAGCCCATAGAAGTAGATAAATTGAAGGCCAATTGTCTTAATTGGGCGGAAACCCAGGCAAAATGAACTAAAGTGGGAGAAAAGAAAAAGACAAAGAAGTTGGTATAAATAACAAGGTGAAATGTAGAGTCACGTGATTGAATTTAGACTTTTAACTTTTAAATGTAATTCCCATCTGTAAAATATAGCAGCAAAAACTTTCAATTTTTCTCTTTCTGTTTGCTTTGTTTGTGGATGTTTTTCTATTCCTTACTCTTCCTTTTTTGAGATGCTTCATTCTCTCCAGATTTGACTGCTTTCTTCACTATCTCAGTTTCCCAACATCCTGTTTCTCTCTTTGTTCTTCGCGCTTCTTCTACCGGTTTTCCCCAATCAATCATAAATTGTGTCTGATTCTTGCATGGGATGAAGATTTTGCAATAATTCAAAAATGAATGGTGAGGGAAGTAAAGAAGAAAATTTTGGTTAGGGCAGCAATTTAGCCCTACTTGGGTATTATCTCCCCAGTTGAGTTTGGAGAATACAATGCAGATCCTATACCCATGTCAGTTTTGAGTGTGTTGATACGGGTAGTTGATTAAAAATGCAGAGTCCAAGCAACAGAGGAATTTTCTGCTATATGTATATATTAATTATTTTTTAGAAATTAGTGCCTTCACTCAAAGTGCTATTTTGCATATTGTGCCTTGGTTACAGAAGGGTCCTAGGGTCTAGACTGCATCTTGTGCCTTTGACAACACTTACCAGGTAAACCTGGGCCTAGAGTGTAGTATTGATTGAGATCTAACCTTACCGTGCATCATCTGTGTGATAGATTCAGTGCTTGCTGAACACTCATGCTCCAAAAAATTAAATAAAATGAGAAAAAGAGGGAAGGAAAATAAGCAGAAAAAGTATATACATTTTGAAAAATGGTTTGCTCATGGAGTATCTAATGTTATATTTTATTAAAATTTTGTCCCTTCATGTACATGATTCTTAAGTGTCTAGCCCAAATCCCGCAAGTTATAGTTTTGGTTTTGATTATTTCCATCACATAAGATTTTTACTTAATCGAAATAGGATTTCAAATGTTTACTTCGTTATCCAAAAGTTACCTTCTAGTTGTCTGTTATTTGCTAAGTTTTCTCCAATGTTATTTCCTTTCATCCTCTTTCTGCTGATAGCTTTGTTGTATTTGCAAGTCCTTAATATCTGTAACTAATTGACATCTGTATTTATGTTTTTGACCAATGCTATGATTTTTGTATAATTTCCTTTTCCTTCAATGTTTAACAGGAAGACTATGGAGTGTCTTGTTCTTTTGCAGGAGCAGGAACAAGGGCAAGCCCTCGTATATATAGACACCAGGTATTTTTGTACATGATTGTGCTTGTGGAAATAAAATAGCAGGAATCAGCTCTCTAAGTGAGAAAAGAAGAAAGTTGCACTTCCTTTCTGATGGGTAATAAGTTTTGTTAAAAAATAAAATGTTGTAGAGGAGAAATACATCAAGCTTTCATTAGAGAAAAACAAGCTTATAGCTCAACCCTTTGCTGTGGCATACAATAAAAAGATATATGCTAAGATTGAAAAAAATACTCCCTGTCTATTTTTTTTTGTCCATTTTTCCTTTTTTGGATGTTTTAAAACTATCCTTTTCCCTTTGCTAAACATCCAAAGCTCTTATTTATTTTATATTGCAAAATTATTTTCATGATTTTTTTAACTTTTTGGCATTAAACATGAAATATCAATTTTATAAAAAAAAAAGTTTAAAATATACTATTAAATATATGAAATATACTTTTGAAAACCATCAATTTTTTTTTAAAACAACTTTGTGATAGTTGAAATGATTTACAATAATAATATTTAAAATTTATTTTGAGCATTTATATTCATACAAACAATCACAATTTGAGATTTATACCCTCTAAACTGTTAAGCAACCAATGTATTCTTAAAGTGTTGGTCCAACAAGATTTCATTAGTCCATCATTACAATTACATAATTTTACACAGATACTATAATATAAAAAAAGATGAAATGATTTAATTGGATAAATCTTAAAACGAAACAACATAACGTATTATGCTTGAAGTAATCAAATGAACCAAAATATAATTGTTTTAGAAACATTAGTTCTAAATATGTATATTCATCACCACCTTTACCATCCATAATTTTTATTTAATAATATCTTATTGAGTGGACAAACATTATTAGTTCATTTAACTGGATGGAAAGATTGCATTGATAAATTGGTTGATTATGCGAATGAAGTAATGTAAGAGAAATAAATAAAAGAAATAGAAGAAACAAAAAAAACAAATGTAAAACAGAAGTTGGAAAAAGGAAATAGAAGGGACAGAAGGCAAACATATAAGACCAAAAAATATAAAAAGAAAGTAGCTGAACTTTATTGTGATAAAAGTGTTATGTATCGGATCAGGCTCCTCTCCTTTTGGCATTTCAAAAGGAGAGGCATGTTAATTGTTAGATTTATAGGCTTGTTAGTTAAGACCATATCAACACATCAGATTATGCCAGAATAACAATTAATTAATGTAATTGTTTCTTATTTGAAAAAAAAACAACAAAAAGAATAACTAAACTGATGTTGTTGGCTAATTTATGAAACACATTAGTGCATTTAGGACATTCTTTGCTTCTTTAAAGAGACCAAACCCAATATCTACATGACTCAGACTAGCTCTAAAAGTTGAAAGGAGAATGTAGTTTCGTGTTGCCCCTAATTCCCGAAGGTATTCTCCTTTCTTGTCAATCTCTTGTTGCCCAAAATTTCTCAAGAGTTAAAGCAAAACGGTAAAATGAAACAATGGTTGAAAATAATTATGACAATATACATGTGGTCAAGTTTTATACCGTTCTGATTTGTGAAAGAACCTTGACATGATTGTATGAAAATTGGAGTCATGCCTAGCCTACTTTTTCTTTCCTTTCTTGTTTGGATCCCCAAAAGCAGCAGCTATTGAAATTTTGGAGGGAAAAATAGTTATTTGACCTGGGGCAGAATTTTAAGTAGGATATCTTTCCCTATGGCGTATGCTGCTAAGTTGCTAATAAGAGATCATTTAAACAAGTTATTTATCCTTTTCCCATTAAATTGCTTTTTGTGGCATAATCTAGTGTGTTGATATAATCTTGGCTAACATGGCAATAAATCTCACTATTAACAGGCCTCTCCTTTTAAGAACCAAAAAGGAGAGGAGCCGCATCGTTATGTTAAAGGGAGGCAGTAGCGTGGTGGTGCATTCTTACCACAACAATGCCACCAAGTAGTTACTTTAGTTATGCACTTATATTTAATGTGATAATATTATTTTTTTCCATTTTGTCACAGGAAGGTCACCTGTTTCATCTATAAAACATTATAGGGAAATAAAAGAGACAAAAACGTAGTGCAAATTTCTCTCAGTGCTATACACAAATCATAATATTTTTAAATGCAATATGTCTAGGTCCTTGATGCATTGGTCAGTCTTCTTTGCCGATCAAATATATCTGCAGAAACTTTGTGGGATGGTGGTTGGCTTTTGCGCCAATTGCTCCCCTATAGTGAGGCTGAGTTCAAAAGTCATCATCTTAAATTGTTGAAGGTGAGTTATCTCTCTAAATATATATGATATACTTGGAATCATATTGCAGCCTCCAATTTTAAGTATTTTTATTATGATAGTTTGATTTATACTAAACTTTTGTGACATTATTAATTTATGGTAATTAATATTTATCTCGTGATTATAGCTTTATTGGTTGGAAAATTTGGTGTTGTCTGATCAAGTATTGAAAATTAAAATTTTCAACAATGTAAAGTATTTTTTAACATGTTTGGTTACTTATCTTGAAAACTACTTATATTGTATCCCGAACATAAACCGTTCAAAATGTTGAGTAGTTAGAAACTACTTAATGTGCTTAGTCAAGTTCGTTTTAAATTTTTTATTATTGGACTCCATTACCTGTGTATTAATTAAAAATTTTTCTATAACATATGTATTTTTTTTAACGTTATTAGATTTAAATTCTATTTAAAATCATGTCTCTTTTCGAGAAAATGCTATACTAAAATTATTTAAGTATTTACTTCTCAGCAACATAAAAACGTTTTTGCAATATAAATTTAATACAAAAATTTTTATATTGAATTTTTTAGTTTATCAAACAATACAATGTTTATTTAAAATTTCGTTGTTAATGATGCAGAAATTTTATTGATGCATGGTTTTGTCCTGTCTAGTTATATTTACTTTTTCCATTTAGCTGTTTTGACTCTGATTTGCAGTTGTTCGTGTTAGAACTTAAAAGCCCTTTGGCTTCATTAGCAATCTTAAAGCTGGACTAATTTAGGAAAAGTTTATTTGGTAGAAGAAATATATTAGTCTTTGACTTTTAATCACTTTTTAGTTATTATCTTTTATGTGTAGGAAAAATTTCTTATTCACTGATAATCTATATTTATTATCATTCAGTTAAAATATATAACTCTATCAATTGGTTGGACTGAGTTGTTAACAACTAGTTCAAAGTCCCACTTTTCACTTTAAAATACCTTTGGGTTAATCCATATTTTTGGAGATATATATATATATATATATCTTTCTTTCTTTCTTTCTTTGTAATTTCATGCTGTTGTCCCCTTATCCAACTCTCATGGTATAAAAATTTTACCTGTCATAGGGACGGTAAGGTTGATGATTGATATGGTGGTGAAAGGCATTTTTCAATCATGGAATGCCTGGTAATTGAAAATTCAAATTTCAATGATACTACCTTGAGATCCCCAGTGTAATAGAATAATTAGTAGGTAACAAATAATGTGTTAAAAAATGATTACAGTGCAGATAAGAATATTATGAAGGAAGAGCTACAATGTGAGGAATAAGGGCTATGCTTACTAGAAAGGATAATTGGGAACCCGAACAGAAGTGGGTCCAAAAAGGTAGAGAATTCTTCATGTTCACGCTTGGTAGGAGAGAAGTGTGGGAGAACTTGATAACTGTTTTATGTTTAGGCCCACAAAAATCAATATTGATACATTGGAAAGATTAGGAGAGAAGGAATGACACAGATGTGAGTCCAAGGTTGCAATTTCACTCCATTTTTCTCATGGTGGAAGTCTCCTTTTTCTCTCTTATTTTTCCAAGCAAATTAAAATTGAAAGCCTGTAATGGTAAAGATAGTATTTTCTATCCTACCAAGCAAATGAGATACATCTTTTCTTTCTGTCTACTTTTCTATCTTTCCTACCACGAATCTCAGCAGAATAATTCTTTTTGCTTTGTTTTTTTTTTTCTGTTTTACATGCTTTCCTATCTCTCTGAACTTTCTATTCTTTCAATTTTCTATATTTCCTACCAAGCAAAGCCTAAGAAAAGATAACATTTATCGAAAGAAAAGATGATAATTAATATAAGAAGGGTTGGGATGTGCACTGTGCAATGAATACAATTAAATTTACATTGTGCATAACAAGCTTCATTCATATAAATGCACCAAGGGACGGGATGATAGCTGAAAAGGTTGAGAAAGACAATTAAGCGAGAAGAGTGGAGGGAGAGGAAGAAGAATGGAAAACACAAGATATCAGTGAACTGGAATGTAGTATTTATGTGATTGAACTCATTTAGTTGAAATGTATTTGTGAAATGAACTAAGATTGAACTCTAATGATTGTAATCTGTCTTGACATGATATAATGAGATAGTTTTTTAAAGCAGACAAACTAGTATTTGGCAGTAGTTTTCCTTTCAGATATAAATGCGTTAAGAGTTTCTTAGAAGCAACATTCAACATGCAACTTATGAACAGTAGAAGGGGGAGTATATTTGTGATACATATCCTAGCAAGCTGTGGCCTTTTATTTATAATGGGTGTAAAGTATGCTTCTAGTGAGGCACCTGGTAGTATTGTAATCCAGTTAGTGGGAAGAAGTGGAAAGGTGAAAATTGGTGACTGGACTATCCTTGATTTACCTTAGTATTGTTGCTGGTGAAGTCAAGAGAAGTTGGAATTATGGAACTAGGGAGACTGGCAGATAGCAAGGCGTATTCTGGATGGTTGCCAAGAAGGTGCTAGTAGTAGATACTGATGGAAGTACGAGAGTCAAATGCAGGAAACTGGATGAAGAAGATAAGTATTAATGCTTGTTGAGCAAGGCTAGAAAGATAATTAGGAGTGCAAGAGTTTTGCGTGTTAAGAGGCATAATTCTCTTGTCAAATAATATTAGCCAAGCCATATACAAAGGTCGATGTGTGTAATTAATGAATTTATTTAGGTTATAACATCTCATTCTGTAACAAAGATGGTGAAATATGTTACAGGATGCAGGTTGTTACATTTGGATTTGTCACAAGAGGTAAGTGTGATGCTGTGTGTCATGAATGTTATATATGAGGTATTCAGACACTCAAAAAAGGATTTAAGAAGCATTCGGACACTCCGAAAAAGATTTAATACAATAAACCTTTAACTAGATCCAAATTTGCTTTCACCAAGTTAAAACTATGAACATCCAATGTGTTTGAGATTAGATCAGATGTCCTGCAGTTAATCCATTAAAAAATTAGTTCTTGAAGACGTGTAGTCCATGGTGCTGCAGGAGGTGCAAAGCATGCTCAAGGATAAATTGGTAAATCCAAAATGAGCTGAAAATTTGTATCTACAATAAGTGATGGTGCGTAAGTAGTTTCTGCTTCAATGGCATTAGATGCCATGTGAACTATTAAGCATCCTCATCAAATGTCTCCAATCTAATTTATCTCATTTTCTATTATGGTTTGAATTTGAAAATATCAGGTAACTTTATTCTTTATTGGCTTACACACTTTACTCTTTAACTTAATCATGTATTTCTTTTCAGGATGAGCTATTTCTGGACTTTTTATAATCGTGGTGGACTTATTGTGGTGCAGGATTCATATAGGAACTGCACAAGTTTTCTTCTACAGGAGACTAAAGGGATCTGGCGTGATCTACTTATAACAGTGCTTTGTGATGAGTGGAAAAAATGCAAAAGAGGTATTCTTTTAAGAAGTTGAAGCTGTAAATAATGACTTTGGTTGTTAAGTTTTTGACTAAAGCAGTTAATTGTAGCAATTGAGGCTTCATCCCCTCGAAAGGAGCCAAAGTGCATACTTTTGTCATTTCAGAAATTGACTTCTGAAGGTAGGATTGAATACTGTTAAAAAATTGGATGGTTTCGAAACTATTTTTCTGATCTTTGTTTCTTTTCTTTTTCCTTGAATGTGGAATATTCATTTGCATTATGTCTTGCATGTACAGATATTCCAGCTGACTCATCGTTAGCTTCTGGTGAGAGGATGAGTGAACTGGTGAAGGTTTGTATATATTCTCTTTATGCTCCATTTCTTTTATTTTGGTACAATAAATCAAAAGACATTGGATAAATCTGAATCTTACGGCATGCATGATATTTAATGTTACTGTCTGCTCTGAAATGACTGTTTGTTTTGGCTTTCCTCCTCGGCTGGTCTTATGATGTTTATGTGCAAATAATTAGAAAAAGGAAGAAAACAAGAGCTTTGCTTTTTAATTTTTAGCACAATCTTTAGTATTGCATGCCTTTTCATTCCTTCAATGGTGCTCTGTAGCATTTATAATTTCAATAAGTTGCTAATATTTCTAAACTTTCTATCTTAGGTATTTGTACTTCTTCATCAACTTCAAATTTTCTCCATCGGGAGGGCTTTGCCCGAGCAGCCCTCTATCCTTCCTCCAGTTGATATCCCAGAAATGTCCCGTGCCGGGGCAGCTGGTCTGGATGTATCAGGTCCAAGGCCGGGCACTGAAATAAGACTTGGTCAGTTTTGTCTCTAGTACTACTGGCTCTACAAGTGATTGCGTGTGTGTGTTTTTCCCTGTTTTGTCCCTTCCAATTTTTCACAGAAATTTTCTTACATGTTCTAGTTGCACAATTAATTACTTCTTGATTCCCTGACATCTGGTCACTGCCATGGCAGTTAATGCTTTGCCTTGTAGGATTGCATTTGAGAGGGGCAAAGAACGTCATTTCTTCTTTCTAGCAGTTTCTATGGGCACATCGGGATGGGTTCTCCTTTCTGAAGAGTTACCCTTGAAGCAGTATTATGGAGTTGTCCGTGTTGCCGCACCTTTGGCTGGTACAAATGTAAGTTCAGCTATATTTTCTGTTAAGTGTATTTCTTACTAAATGCTGCAGAACATGTGTGCACTTGATTGCATGTGCTATTTATTCTTCATTTAGTTCCTACCTTAAATAACAGCCTTGGTTGTTAACATAATTAGTGAGGTGAGAAGGATTTGAGGTTGGTCTTGGCATTCTATAGTCAAGTGTAAAGCTGGCAAAAGCTCCTTCCACAAAATTCCTGCCCAACCTAACCAAACCAAACCAGAGCTGAAAAAAAGCCAAAACCAACCTAGACATTGACCGATACTGTAACATGATACCGAAATAAATTTGAAACTTGATTGAAACTTAAATTGAGCATAATATATATTATTTTCTCATTTTAAATTTCAATTAAACTTAAAAATGATTAATATAATACTATTATAAAAAAATAGCTTCATTTTGACTTGATTTGAGTTAACCTAAAAGTCAACAATCTGAACTTGATTAATTTGAAACCCGAAGTAATCCGAACTTGAAACAACCTGATTCAGAATAGACCAAAATTTAATGATCTGAATTGACCCCAACTTGAAGAATTGGTTGGCCCTCAATTACTCTTTTGTCAATTATTTTCTCATACACATCATCGCCAGTTACATGTGTAGGATCCATTAATAAATTGTAGAACTCATATCTATGAATGGTAAGGTGTATTAGAAAGTAATGGAGGGCAGCTAGAGCCCAACCAAAATAACATAATTGACCTGCCTAATTGCTGCCTTTGTCAAGTTTTGATAAAAGTCTTGTGGTATAACATCTTCCAAAGCACAAACTGGCATGTAGGACTACATGGCACAAGATTGAAAAGTTATGACCTGAACTTGAGTTTATCTGAATTTATCTAAAAATGTCAATGTGAAGTAATCCAACTTGAACTCTCCCGGTTGCCACCCTAGTCAAGTGTAGATATAATATCTTCCAAAGCGCAAATTGGCATGTAATCACATTCCATGAGGTTGAATAGTCATGTCATTCTCACACTTTTTTTTTTTCTGTTTTTATATTTCCGGTGATTGTGCTACTTTCTTCTAAAGTACTTGGTTGTTTCTGGTCTATTACCTTCAGCCTAGAATTGATGATAAGCATTCAAGATGGCTACACTTACGGATTCGTCCATCAACTTTACCCTTTTCGGATCCTCCCAAATCTGGTGGACTTGGAAAAATGAGAATAAAAACTCTAGTTGATGGGAGATGGACCTTAGCTTTCAGGGATGATGAATCCTGCAAAAGTGCTTTATCTATGATTCTTGAGGAGATTAATCTACAAAGCAGTGAAGCTGAGAGAAGACTAAAACCAGTACTTGACCTTGAACTGTAGATTCGTCAAATTTTTCTCCATATCCTCTAAGTATTTCAAAGTACAAACACCTTGGACTCCATTATAGTTGCCAACTTGTTTAAATGGTTAGCTTTATGCTTTTGCAGTGAGAGTTTGTGGTCTTTTCACTTTTTTGTATATATGCTCCTAAGGCAACCCCAGATATACCCTCAAGTGTAGATTAGCTCCGCAGATTTAGTGCCATTCTTTGTATATTAGCTATCCCTTGCCTGATTTGTTTGTTTATTGGCCTTGCCTGCTCATTTGGCCTTTATTTTTTTTCTGTTCATTATCGAGCGGCTTCCTAGCTTAGGCTTTTCTCCCCCTAATTTTGTAAGTTGCGTAACATCGATGTACATTTGCAACCTCATAGTAAAAGCCATTGTGCATTTCTTTTCAAATCACCTCAGCATGTTAATTTTTTATGGAAAAATTTAGAAAAGAATAGTCTGCTCTGTATGGAGTATGGTACTTGATTCTGCATATAGCCATAAAAAAAGAAGGAAAGTACTGGAATCGTGAAGTAGAATTGAAGCCACTGAACTAATTGAATTCCAGGAAAAGAAGCTGCGAAAAGTATATATGAATGAAAGATGTTGCTCTCTAGCTGGTATGTTCGATGAGTCCGCCTTCCGCGGCGGTCACTGGCTTTGGCTTCACCTGCGACCTTCCCTTTTTCTCCTCTTTTCTTTATTCCTATCTTCTCATATCTCCGATTCTTTGTTTCAGTCTTTCTCTTGATTGGGCCCCTGTGTCACTCTTTTAAACTCTCCCCATTGCTACCTCTCCCAGCTCTGATGTATTTGTGAAATTATTACTGGTGGTTGGAAGTTCTATTATGATGCTGAATTTCTTTAGAGGTTTGTGATTATTTTTGTTTTGGGTTTCCATGACTTGGTTGGTATTTATTAGATGATGTTTTTTAAGGATTTGATGTTGTTTTTGCTTGATTCTTGATGGGGTTTGACTTAAAATCTGGGAACTGCCGAAGGGGTTGATTTGTACGTTACACCATGTTTGTTTCTTGGTAAGTTGGTTTGTGTTTAAATGTGCACTTGTTTATAAATTATAAATTATTAATTAATGTAGTGAATTAAGTAAGCACAATATATAAAAAAAAGTCTTCAAATTATTTAAAAAAATTTATTTACCTTTTAATGTTTTTATTACGTTTAATTAAATTTTTATATTGTTATAATTAATGGTCAATTAACTTTCATTAGTCTTTGCGTAACATATCATTTTATATCATATGGTGTTAATTTGACATGTTAGCATGTCATAATAGAAATTGATGTGATATTGTGATAACATAATCATGTAATATTTATCATTCTACACGTGAATACTATATGAATATAAAAAAAGTAATATTTTGATTAATAGTCAATAGTCAATTGTTAATTATAAAAGTGTAGTCAACTTAAAATAAAAGTTTAAAAACTCGATGAAAGATAATAAAAGAATAAAAATTGATTTAAATTTTAAAAATAATTTGAAAATTTTTTTAAAGCATATATGTTTTAATATAATTAATGGTAAATTAAATGCAAAATTGTAGATGAATTTGTCACAATTAGTGAAATATGAAACCTTAAAATTTTGTATACGCCAATTTGCATCGCATTAGCTTATTTTTCATTCCCATTTAAACAAAAACCAGTTTTTGAAGAGTAGGTGATAAAATAATTAACCAGATTTCATTGATTCTGACTCCTAATACCGTTAGCGTTTTTTTTTTAAAAAAAAGAGTAGACATAAAATATGTACTTAAATAAACAATTAATATTTTTAAAAGATTAAAGAGCGAGTAAATAAATTATTAAATTAATTATAAATCTGGCATTTAAACTACATGAAAATGTCATTTTGACATCTAAATTAAAGAAAAATGTGTATTGGATTCAAATTAGTTTGAGTATTAATATTGTTAATCCAACTAGTTTATGTGACATCAAAAAATGATTTTTAACGTCTCATAAACTATTTTTGACAGATTTGAACGTTGAAAAAAACTTTTGAAATTCAAAATGTTAAATCCGTAATTTGCTTTTCATTTCATTATTTATAAATATTGAATGAGCTTAAAATTAATTTATTAATTTATATTAGTGTTTGCAGTAGAAACTTCTCTTTTAAAGAATATTGTTTATGACATTAATAAACTATGGTTTTTAATGTAAAAAATATTATAAAATTAATATCAAACATGAAAAAAGGAAGAGTAATGGCACACTTGGTTTAAAATAGAATGAAAGTAAGCTAGTTATTCCGTATAAATAAAATAAAGTAAAAATAGTTATTATGTAGTTTGATTGATTGAAAAAAAATAGTTTCTAAATAAAAAAAATAAATGATAAAAAGATAAAAGTATTTTATGAGCATTTCATGCTAAGAATTGTGAATAATAATTTACATTACAGCAAAGACCCAAACAAAAATGTATCTACATCACAACAGCAAAAGTGTGTAGCATATAATAAGAGAAAGAAATATAAAACTGGGTATCATATATGCATTGTTAATTTTATCTTGCTAATCAACTTTTAACGTATGCATAGAGATAGCTTGTTACAAAATGTACAAAAGTTGTTCTGCATAACTTTAGTGTTTAGAGTGGATTTTGATTGCAGAAAGGTATTAAAAATAGGCTGCTTCCATTTTTTCAATAATATTGCACAGGCAGGATGGTATTTTTCCAAGTACAAAACCTGCGTTTGTAGTTGTAACTTTGGATGTTTGGCCATGCTTGTCACGTCCACCACTACAACAAAATTTAAATAAGAAGAGGTTGATTCTTCATAAAAAAATAAAATGGAAAATATAGAAATTTATTGAAAAAATGATGCACCCAGAGAATAGGAAATATCAATGGAAAATTATCATAAAAAAAATGCATCTTGAGACATAATAATTGTTGAACATATGTCCTTAAAACCCAATTTTATTTTTTATTTATTAGATAAATGTATTACTACATCAATTATTGATTTCATACATATATATATATATATATATATATTAATGAGTATTTTATTAATTTATGACATATATGATATGACCATAAATTATTTGGTAACATTTTAGAAAAACTTGCCAGAACTCTGAACTAGAAAATACCAAAATGACTTCAAGACAAGTAACAATATCACTATCTTTAAGGTTTTATTTTGCCCCCATTAATTGTGTGCAAAGAGATTGCAGGTGATAAATTTCTAGAATACAAACAAGTCTAGTGATTGACTGCTTTTTGCATTAATGAAGTTAATCCACTGAGCATCTATTGATGTATGGCAATATTACTTAGACTTTTATATGATTTTTTGCAATAAAATAATACAAAAGAAGATCTAGAGAATATTGAAAAGAAAGGAGAAAGTGTTCATTTGTTGTTCTATGTCCTTTTTTGTTTTAGAGGAAGGCCCTTTTTATAGGTAATTGTGACAGCTTCCAACTGACACAATTGTGTCTGTTTCAGATAGAGATTGTTTATTTCTAAGAATTATGTATGTTGGTTTTCTAACAGACATAATTATTTTCAAACAAACTTAATCGAACTATCTGTTTTCAACAGTTATTACTTGTTGACAAAATTTTAAAATTTATTTTAATTACTTGCACATATCCATGTGCCAAGTGCCATAATAATTAATTAATATTAAATTTAATTAATTTCAAGACCAACCAAGCCCAAAAAACCCATCCCTGATCCATTGCCTATTAATGTCTAATTATAATGGACTTGTACACCTCTTTGTTTAAATGACCCTTTCTCCTTTTATTTTTCCAATGTAGGATTCTGTCCCGCATAAATTATCCAACAATCCCTCATCATATTCAAAATAATCCAAAATTTCAATTATCTTCAAAATCGATTGCATAAATGAAGATATCTTCTAATTAAACCTTCTCTTAGTAAAAACGAGTTAAACTTAACCAATATTGCATGGTAGACTATGCTTTGAACTAGTTATTCTATTTGGTTAACTGAACAAATCTCACATAATGATTTCAATGCCAGTGAATGTACAGTATTTGATGGCGTTGATAACTCTATTATATAGAGTTATTTTAACAAATTTTGAGAGCTTAAGTAGTTAGATCTTTGAGATTTTAGATTCAGATTGTAGCATTTTAGGTGTTTTTCTAGTTTAAGTTTGATTATATACTGAGTAGTTAATTTAAGTTATCTGAGTTTAATTTTATTTTATTTTGTTTTAAATTACTTTAAGAATAGTTATTGCCAGTTTCTTTTATTACTTTTTTAGGAAATTTGATGAAAATCTGTGCAAGTATGATGATAACTTTATTTGTATATGTTTCGGTATTTTATTATATTTTCTTTATACAGAACTCCAAATGAAGTGATTCTTAGATCATTAGAACAGTAAAAGGAAAGGCTATAACTTTTATGTTTACACTTTGCCAATTCTGATCGGATCATGGTCAAAATATTTGTCCAAATGGGAGCATTGAAGTAGTATGCATAAATTGATCATGATGCAGTATTTTGAGCATATCTTTCACTTTAGAAGTTCAATTGATGTGATTCTTGAGTTATTGAAAATAAGAGACAAGGCTAAAACTTTCATTTACCACTTTGCCTAGTTCAAATTAGATCGAGGTGAAAATTATGTTTGAAGTTGATAGACAAATATAGTTCTACACTTAAGGCAGCATGGCACGAGAGTTGAGGCACTAGAGAACCATGGCCGCGACGCTGAGAATCTTGGGAGCATCATACAAAAACTCAAGAGCAAGATGCTATAGTGCTACCAAAGTCTGTCTTGGAGCCATGGAGCTAAGAAATCATTTTCCAAAAATAAAAATTTGATAGAATTTTGAAAATTAAGTTGCTTGGAGTGTATTTAAGGGACCTTTTTCAGAGGTTTAAAGGGGGAGGTAGCAAGCAACTATTCTACAGATTTGAAGCCAAGAACAAAGCAAGCAACCAAGAGAATTTGAGAGAGAATTGAGATTGCAAAGCTTCAATAATTAGTTTCTTTCTTTACTTTTGTGTTTTTTTTATTTTCTTTGATTGGGATTTAAGGTTAAATTTCTTTGAATATTGCTTTTATTAGATATTATAAGCTAAATTATCTTTCTAGATTGTGGTGGATTTCAACATGTAGTTTGAATATTAGTTTCTCTTTTATTTACTATGAATGGGTGTAGTTTTTGCTTATTTAAATATGTTATTAATGCTTTTGATTGCTTGGACAACAAATAACTTATTTGTGAATCTAATTGAGACTCGATAAAAAGATTTTAGATTAGAATAAAGTTTGAATAATGTATATTCACGTCACTTAAATGATCTGATTCGCGATTCGAGTAGACATACACCAATTGCCATACATAGCCAAATTAAGACACTTGCTTAATAAACCTTATTTAATTGATT